AGCCACACAGAGTCTCCCATCCTTGGTATCTTCACCAGTGTGAAACATCTGGTGCTGTCACCATTGATCAGCTGATGTTTTCAGGCCATCATCACTGAAGTCTACATCTGGAAAGATGGTTCATTCATGGTAGATGCATTCAGTGGGTGGGACGAACATACCACCTCAATAGCCACCTATGGCATAGAGTCCTGCTACCCCAGAAGCCCTGCACATGCCTTTTGCCTTTCCCTCTTATCTAACCACTTCCAACCAGTAATCTCATTACAGACTCGATAGCTCTGCCTCATCCACAACTTAATAAAGTAAGAATCATACTGAATTTAAGTTTTTTCACATTGGCTTCTTCCACATTGTAATATTTCTTCTGTGGTTTTCCTTTGATACTATTTATTTATTTTACCAATGAATACTATTCTATCGCCTGGATGTATTACAGTTTATCTAGTCTCTTGAAGAATGTCCGTTTTGCTTCCAAATTTTTGGTAATTGAAAAAAATTAATCTGAACATTTGTGTAAAAGTTTTTGTGAGGATATGGAAGCAGGATTTTATCTCATTTTAGTAAATATCTAGGCCCACCACGGATATATCATATGGGACAATCATTTTAACTTTTGAAGAACCTGCCAAACTGTCACACAAAGTGGCTGTTTGGTTCCTCCGCTTAGGCTTTAAAAGCAAGCTCCTGCTCTTCTGCACCCTTGCCAGCATGTAGTGTCGTCGGGGCTCTGGGATTTTGCCCGTTCTGAGAGGATGTAGCAGTGTCTTGTTCTGATTTGCATGTGTCTGATGGCATGCTACGTAGAAGGTTGCTCAGGCTTTGTTCACCCCATTCATTTTTGTCTACTAAAATAAGTAACCCAGCCTTTAGGGCAAAAGAAAAATCTTTTCTCATAGTATAGTCTATTTTAATTACATTTGCAACAGTATTAATTTTTAGAGTTCATGTACAGGACTTTTTTTGTTTTTGTTTTTGAGACAGGGTTTCTTTGTATAGCTTTGGAGTCTGTACTGGAACTTGCTCTGTAGACCAGGCTGGCCTCAAACTCACAGAGATCTGCCTGCCTCTGCCTCTGGAGTGCTGGAATTAAAGGCATTCACTGCCAATGCCTGGCCCATGTACAGTATTTTAATTATTAAATATTTCCTAAGGGAACACAGGTTTTTTTGTTTGTTTTCATTTCAAACAAGTTTCACAAATGGATTTCAAGAATACCTTCTGATCTGAAATTATGTGGTTGTTGTAATATGTAATAGCTTGTATAGGAACTTCTGGGCCAGAGGTCTGGAGAAATGATTCAGAATGCTCTTGCAAAGAACTGAAATATAGTTCCCAGCACCCATGTCAGGTGGCTCACGTTCACCTCTGAGTCCAGCTTCTGGGATCCAATGCCCTCTTCTGGTCTCTGTTGGCACTTGCATGTGCAGACATACATATACACACACACAGACACACACACACACACACACACACACACACATACTTCATTTTGAAGTCTGTCAATCAAATTATATTTTCAAGACTATTATTTACTTAAGGAAGTAAAGGAGTATACATCAGGCTATTTTGGAACAATTAAACCACTTTTTTTTTTTTTTACTTCTCTTCAATTTATTTCATTTCATTTTTATTGAATGTTCACATATGCATACATGACAGCTCAGTTACATATAATTTTGGCTAGCAGCTCTAGTAACTGCAGGATGATCCCTGAAATGAAGCCCTATTTGCATTCTGCATTGTCAGTTGACTGGCTCATCTTCCTAGGTTGCTGCTATAAGTAACTAGTCCATAGATATTCTTCTACGTGTAAGGTTTTATTTAATGGTATCCATCTGAGAAGTTGCAAAGAAGTGAATGGATTGTCCCTTGATTTGAGTTTTCATTTCATTTTATTTGTGATGTTTAATATCTTGACATTCACTTTAATTTTCTAATGAAATTAAAATTTTTCTGATATTGAATTCCATTTACTTATATAATTTCACTTTGATTGAAATGAGCTTGTGCTTGATTTAAATAGTTTATGAAAAAGACTTTTTTCCTTTGCTGGTGTGACTGACACAATTTAAAATCATTTTCTGGTTTTAACATTTGCAAAATGTACATTTGCTAGCTTTGGTTATTTTCACAGTGGCTTCTTACTCTTGGTACTTTGTGTTTACCATCAAGGCTATGTGTTCTCTAAAGCCCTCTTCAGACACTTCACACTTGGGCCACTTAAAATAAGTTTCACAATGATTATGTCATAAGCTACTGAAAATGGACTGGTACCATGTTTTATGTTCATGACACTAAGAACTGCAAGTGCCTGCGTATGGATAAACAACAACAATAAAAATGATTTCTTTAAAAATTCAACATAAAATGTCAGTAACATTATTGAGAACATCCAAAACAGTTATAAACTGATCCTGGATACTCAGAAGAATGGAGCTTGGAAGAGCTCATGGTGACAGGTTTCTCAATTTTGTCATATAGGACACAACAGAAATTTCTATTAGAATTTTGTAGTGAAACACAACAAGTCAGGAACTGCATCTGGTCTTTCAAATAGGTAAAAGAGAGTCTATCCCAGCACCAAATGTCTTCCAAGAAATACAGTGACAAAGCAGGTATGTACAAAGGAAGAACCAATTCTCATAAACTATTATTTTGTTAAATCTTAAGAGATTATTTGTGTCTTATGATTGTAATTTATTTGCTAAAGAAAAATACTTTCAATTATCAAAGTAAGAAGATAGTTGAAGAAAAGGGAATTTGGTGGATGATTTTTCATTTTAAAACAATAAATATAGTCTATTTACCCAAACCGACATCTGAGCTGTTACTTCAAAGGGGCTAAAATATCCTTCAAATAATTTGGTCCTTAAACCACAGCTCTGCATCAAACATTGAGAACGGGAAGCCCATTCAAATTTTGTTTCTTTAAACTAAAGTTTTGCATATTGCCTTCTCATCAAGGAAAATGAAACTGGATGTTCAAGTCTTGTGTTAATAAACTGCTAATCCGGATTTGTTCACTCTGATCTTTGGATAAAATTGAGATATGACTTGATGGACCCCAGTCATTCTGCTCAGTCTCTTCATCATGTTAAATAGTGGTTCCAGGTTTGTTTAATAATAAGCAACTGCAGAAGGATATTTGAAAATTACCCTGTTTGGCAAAGGCAAGAGTGAAATCATTCAAAAGGACATGACCAATATTTACTAAAAAAGAGTAATAATTATGGGATATTGTCAAAGCATAGTACAGAGTGTGGGCTGGGCTAAACAGTAAAGTACAAACACACACACTGAACTGAAATCATAATCACATCAGCATTCCTAGAGAGGCAGAACCTGGGCTAAACCCACAGGAAAGTGGTATGAGACACCCTCGCCAGCAAAATTAACCTTTCCTTAACCAATCTAGAGAGCTTTCTAGGTTTTTTATTATTATTAATATTATTTGTGCAGGTCATTGCTAAACCAGCTACATGGATGTGATCTTTAAGTATCTTTCTATTCCTTAAATTACATGTGTTAGTCACTGGAAAAGGAAGATTTCCAGAGACTTCTCAATTCTTGAACAGTTTTCACTCACCACACAAAAAAACAAGAGGCTGTAACTTCTAATTTCTGGTGCTATCTCTTAAGACCGTACAGCAAAATTCAATTTCATAAAGTTTTTTCTTTTCATTCTTTTTTTTGATAAAATTACATTTAAAGTGCATTGGTGTTAAGTCAGGCACCATCTCATCCTAGTTGAATGGTGTCCACTTCGTCCTGAAATTGTATTCCATGTAGTCATAATGGAAAATTGTAGAACACCAAAATAGAAACAAAGTGGTATTAACAGATGTGATCTCACCAGGGTTCCATTTGTTAAAGAAAACATTGAATATTAATTAAAAGTTAATTAGAACTAATTGCCAATTAGAAAGAAAATGTAATTTGAAGCTACCCACAGCCCTTCTACTATTATTACCTTTGAGAATACTGCACACCCGAGGGCTGGCGAGCATGATACCTTCCTTCCTGTGGCAGACCTGTGAAGTCCATCCGTTTACAGTTAACTTGCTTCATTAAACCTCAGAGCAGGTGATTCTGCACAAAACAGAATCATTTGTGGAATACAGTCTTAAAGAAGGAGTCAGTGTTTTCCTGAGTGTGAATATCATTGTGGTAGAAAACAAAGAATTGAGAAAGGCAAATGCAATTGTTTGTAGTGAAGTTGGAGATGCACAGTGACTCCCCCCATGTGTTTCCATACTTCTAGGAACAGACCAATTTTTATTCTGGGATAGAGATTTCCTACAAGACTCAGATTAATGCTCATATTTGAGGACAGTTATAGCACTAGAATCCAGAAATGGCATTCACACCCAAATCAGTCTAACAGTTTCCTTTCAGTCCAGAGATACAAGCAGCTTTAGAATAAAAAGGCAGAATGAATTTCAAAACTTTCTTCCTCCTTCTGGAAAAAATTTCCAGTGATAGAATTACTCTTCTACTGGAGTGAAAACTGAGGCTGAGGTTGACAGCCATTTGGCCACTGGACCAAACTGAGATCCAAGGCAAGCTAGAAGTAGAGGCCTGACATCTTAAAGCCCAGAGACTGTATGTCTGGGACCTGACAATTAATTTCCCTTTGTTCCATTAATTTATTTTAGGTTTTATTTCTAGACACTTAAAACTAGAAAGACCACAGACAACATAGTATGTTGAAGATATTTATAACAGACTCAGAAGAGAGAGAATCATGTACTCTTCCCATTCAAGTTAAGAAATCTTCCCTCTACCAAGACAAATATTGCTTATGGAAACATTCCTTGGTTGACTGTTGACACTGAAGAGGGCAGTCAACCTAGAAGGCTTTGTTTCTTAATCATTTTTTTTGGACACAACCTGAAGCTATGATCTCACTCACCTAGTCACTCTTCACATCCACACAAGACCCAATCGGGTTCAAATCATTGACCTCATAAAATGGCAGCTTAAGAAGGGCATTTCATGTCAGAGGAAGAGAAATTCATTTTGACTTTGATTTTTTTATAAAGGTGCTCTGAACCCTGTTTCTGTGCCTCTCTGTGTGCTCAGCTTTGGCTTTTCCCTAAATCTTCTGCACAGAAGGTCCTCCAATTAAAACACCACTAGTCCCCTAATACTCTTCTAAGTGAAGATATACAAGATGGCAAACATAGACTGGCTTCTCCTTGTTTTACATTTTAATTTTAAAGTCATTTACTGATTTCCTGTGATGAATATGTGTGCCTTCCAAAGAAACCCTGCCTTTCTTTTCTTTTTATTATGTATGAGTGGACATGAGTATGTTGTCTCCACACATATGTGTGTCAAGAAGAAGACAGCTTGCCTTTTCTCTCTTTATAGCTTACATGTACCAAAAAATGGGATTTGTGTCACCAAGCTTGGCAACAAGCACTTTCCCCTGCTGAGCCACACTGCCACTCCTTCTATGTGTAAGATGAGATTCATACTTCTCTAGAGACAGGTGCTTTTATCGAGTCAATCCCTTTGCTAAGTGAAGCCATGTTTTTTGTGCTTTGTTGACAAAACACCTGACAGCATTAGCTCTATTTAGTGGGACAAATGTGATAATTTATTAGAAATGATATTAATCACAAGACTCCTAACTTGGCTCACTGATTTATGAGTGGTCATTTACTAACATTTATATTATTTTAAAAGCCAAGTAAACTTCAATATTTTGCAAGAAAGTTTACATAGTATTTTTTTGTTTTCATATAATATATAGATAAGTAAGTATAAACGTTTAAGAAAACTATGAGATTTTGTTTTCATACTCTCAAAATAAATGCTGGATTTGAGTTCATACATTTATAAAATATGTCTCTTATTAGAAATATTATTGGTCTCAGCCTTTTGACAGTTCTAAGAACCTTACACATTAACATTCATATTACAATATCTTCATATTTTGTTTTGATACAAAAGCTCCATCAGTAAAGTTTAAATGTAGCAAGATGGGATGCTCAGATTTCCAATACCTTGGCAGTCTTTTGTCTTAGAGGTTATAAGAAATATTTAATATTTAACTTATGATTCACAAAGGCCTTTGCTTTTTTCCAGGTACCTCTATTACTCTGTGAAAGTATTCGTAAGAAATGTGCAGAATATGAACAGCATATTGGAAACTCATTTCTAGTTCATTTTTCTTTAACTGTGTCTATTTTAATTGTTTCAAAGGGGGAATTAAAAGATTGGCCAATTAGAATTCTAATGGGACATCCCTGGAGTTTATAGAAAACTGTCTTTGGAGTTTTTCCTTGAGGTATCAAAGGACATTTGAAATTTATTATCACATGGAGATTTTTAAAGTAGGAATGGTTACAGATTAAGTGCCCAATTTAAATTATTTAATGCTTCTAAATCTTATTTTACATCACCTGGCTGTATTGACATATTTTAAGAAAACAATTGGAAGAAGCTCTGGTCCTGAGAAGTATCTGAAATTTAAAGTGCATTTCTATTTCCAGAAAAAAAAGACTCTACTCAGTCAAATACATCTAGTATAACACTGAAGCTACATTCAACATGCTTTTTAAATACCCCCCATGTCAGGCAGTTCTGAATTTTTTTCTGGATAGCCTCATATCTTATTGTTATCATTTATGTAGCATGATTTCTCCTGTAAGTTTCTCGGCCTCAGATCAGCCATGCCAAGGAAAAGGCAATGTAGAAGTGGCATATAACACCAACATCATTTATATTTATGTCTGGAATACATTTTCTGCTGTCCTTTCCCCCCTAGAACATTTACCTTCCTAATTATGTTTTACTCAGTCTAATCTTTAAATTAATTTGAATTCCCTGAGCTCTCAACTGACAGTGAGAAGAATGGAGAAATGTTCCTGAAGGGAAGGAGAAATTAGATTAAATAATAATGATCACTCGTATTCCTACACCACTTCAGCATTCGCAATGTGATTTGGTTTCTCTTCACTAAGTCAGTCCCCACCACTACGAGGCAGATAGAGAATTGTATACATTAGGAAAGCAAATGGTATTTGACAGGGCCTGGCTTCTCCACAGGAAAACAGCTGTGCTGTGGTGGTGGGGGGGCAGCCCTCTCTGAGCAGGGCCTGAGGCTTTTTGTTCACTGATATAAGTGCCACAAACACTGAAGGGCAACCACTGAGCACATGGGTTTGATAGAGCCTGATAATCTATTTCCTTCTGCAAAGCCACTGCTCAGTCATCCTACTTTGTTCCTATGACCCTACCCTCATTAGCCAGGACAGGATGGACTAAATCAATGATCTGTCCCTGTACAGAAAGTTCTGAAGCAGTCAAGAAGCTGTTAGGGAGGCCATCAGGAAATGTGACACAAGGATGAGATAAATCATTTCCCACAAGAATTTTAATTAGAAAATAAAGAATTGATTCATAATATGGGTGGACTCAATATGAAAAGAAGTCTAAGAAGTGCCTTAAGTTAATACAGTCTCCAGAACATTTTCCCCATTCTGTTCTCTTTCTCTTTTGTTTTTAGTATCATCTCTCTAAGGAGGTAGCAGAGAGGACAGGGGATGTGACCACTGTGGCAGTTATGTATGAGTTGCCATCCACCCTGACACAGATATATTCTCCATGAAGCTAGAGTACAGGGGTATCTGTGGGGGCACCTTATGATATTTACTAGGATCAGTACTAGGATTCTCAACCAAAGCTTTTCTCTCTAGCTACCTTCAGAATCAATAAGCTGAACAGAGATTTTCATATCATATCTTTTTAAATGACCGATTCTTAATAATTTCAAGTGTTCTGATTATGCTGTATTTAATATCCGTAAGGTCTATAATTGCCTACTGCTTATTTTCAGTTATACAATACAGCACGCATTAGCAATGACTGGCTGTGTAACCTTGTTAACTTCGGACAGATGGGAGAAATGTTCAGCTTCTATCATTTCATGCACATTTCTCATATTTTGTCTAAAAACACACATTTAGCCAAAAGTATGTTAGTGGCAATTCTATTTCCATGCTTTATATTCATTTTATTTGTGTGATGTTTTGTTTTCCTGTTTGGTAATTAATAATTTTAAGGCAATTTTGTTATTAAATATATTAAAGAGCAATCAATCAGTCCTTCCCTATGACACTCAAATTACTATAATCCTCATAAATACTTTGGTCCATGAGCTCCCTGAAAATACATTCCTGCTTTTTGTTGTTTCAACCCTGCCTCATAGTGATAAAGTCTAGGCTTACAATAGCAAAGACATCTGTTTTGGCAGAAATAAATTAATCATATTAGAGTCAGCACATACCTGTTTCTCATGGAAAAATAATGAAAATGATAACAAAAAATGAAAACTATAAGGGCCGTGATAGGTAATTGTGGCTGTCTGCTTGAGGAGGAGGAGGTATATAATTTTCTCATGGATCTAAAATCTAGAATTTCTGACATTTAGCTTGTCCTGGGGTTCCAAAGGCAAAGTACACAAAGCCAAGAACACTGATGAAGTAATTATACCACTCATGTTCTTGACAAAGCATAAAATAACATATTTTTCTGCTTTCTTGTATAGCATCATTATAATAGAAAGTAAAAGAAAGGAGGAACTGGTCCATGAAGATTCTGTTCTTAGCAAAACTAAGGACTTTGATTCAGTTATCTTTTCCCATTCAAGCAAAATTTCCATCCTCTGGGGGAAGGAGAAGTCTTAGGAAATTATATAAATGTATAACACAGTTACTATGTTAATACTGGGATTTTATAATTATTGTTTGGATTCCTACTCAGATAAATTTGTCATTTTGTAGAACAAATTTGTACATTGATTCTGACATTCTGCTCTTATAGGATGCACATATTCAGATATATAAGATAAAATATAAACAACAATAAAAAATAGTACTGATGATAATAATGGTATGTACTTATAAAATATTTAGTTTGAAGAATAGCTGGTAGGCTCATAACCAACTGTTCCATTTTAAAGTACATTATTTCTCTTATTATTTTATTTTCACATTTTCAAAGGATTATTTCCACCTTAGTTACATCCAAGGAGAAGAAAATATTCTGAAACATATTCACCAGAAGACACCTACTGAATGAATACATCTGATATAATGATTTTGTGATGCTATCAGAGCAATTGAAAAATCTTATATCTTCAATTTTAAATACTAAAGTCACTACATTTTGTAATTGCCCTATACCTCAATTAATAATGCTTACTTATTCTAGTGAGTCATTGTTTACCATCTCAGGCTATTAGTTTAGCTTAAGGTCTTGAGACTAAAAGCTCTATTTTTTTTGCAAAACACTTAAAGCAATCGTAAGTCCATGGAAGCCTTCTGTATAACCTATTTTACTGACAAACAATTACATTTTAGATTGAAGAGGTGAAATGATTAAGAATATTTGACTTAGTTGCCATGACAGCATGCATTTTTCATCAGGCACAGTGTAATTACTACAATTTCAATGATGTAAAATCAAGAAAGATGATAACAAACAGCAGAACCGTGGAGATATTGCCATTGCAACCAGGTTGCCATAGCAACAGTGATAATAATCCCAGTGATAGATGTTTTCTCTTGCTCTTTCCATTTTGTACGGTTATAACATTCAGAGCCAGTTTTTACCACAGCTTTTTATAGTTTATTAGACTGTCAAAATAGTTTATGAGATGTTGTTGCAAAGGAAATGACTGAGTTCCGCAGTCTAATAAAAATGCCAAATACTCTGTTTACATACTGCACCAGCACTTAACAAACATTAAAAAATTGTATGAAAAATGATTTGATATTGTATCTGTATTAATCAATTTGCAAGGCATAAGCTTTGTCATTGAAGGTCGAATGAATATTTTCCAAGCGGTCTGTTTGCTAAGCTTTTTCAAAGTTCATTCTTGACGCAGCATTTGGCAACTCCCTTCATCTGGATAGAGTATCAACTACCTGCAGGAAATACTATGCACAACTAAAAGATAAATGGTTACAGAAAATTAAAACCATAGTTGCTTTTCAAATAGTTTGGAAAAATATTTAGAGTGTATGGCCCTAAGAACTCGCTGTGTGAACATTTTAAGATAACATTTTTTGAAGGTATAGCCAAAGATAGATTAACAATGAAATGGCATTAGAAATGAAGAGTTTACATGTAATCAATTGGATAAGAAAACCTTTAATTATCTAATACCACAAAAGGACACATACATGGTGTAAAAGTTATCATTCACCACCATGAGACAGCCGTGACCATCATTATGCAGACTTAACATCTTTCATGAGCTTTTCTTTTAACTGTAAAGGAAACACATGACAGAATCCACTACCATAGGCTTTGTCTCAAAGGAAAGATATCCCAAAACACAAGCAATCATATGAATCTGCAACCTTGACATGTATTGAAGTCCTGTAAAGTCCTCATTAGGAGATTGCAGAAAATCAAGTGAGACACTAAAAATCTTGACTCTGCTTCACTGGATAGTTTCAATGATCAGGGAAGTTTTGAGTTCACTGGCAGTTTCTCTAGAAATATACAAAGACTACAAAGAATTTTCAAGGATAACCCCTCCCCTTCATCCATTCATCAAGGATAAGCCCCCCCTTCAACTATTCATTTGTCCCCTACAGTATTTTTCATTTTAAGAGAATTGGGTTTAGTTAGACTGCTATAAAAGTTTATATGGGTGAAATATGAGGCCACAGTCTAGTCAGAGTTCTAACGTTAGAACACAAAGCAAAGACTTTAGAACTCCAGAAGCCCTTCTTTATCTTTTTAATTTATTCTCTCATACAATACATCCAGAGGGCAGTTTCCTCTCCCTCTACTCCCCCCAATTCTTACTCTCACCTCCCTCTTCTCCAGATCCACTCCTCCTCATTTCCCTTTAGAAATGAGCAGGTCTCCCAAGAATAGCAAAAGAACATTGCATAACAAATTACAATAAGACTAGGCACAAAACCCCATGTCAAGATGGACGATGTTACAGTTCTGAGCTCCTGTTATCTGTTCTAAATGTTTATGGACAAGTAAGGTCTGTGGATTTAGAAATAGAAGTCTTAAGTGACTTCCTTTTCCTCTTGATCAGGAAGCAAGAATGCAATGTGAACTTATGCCCATTATAGAGTTAGCAGCAGTCCAATATAATAACAAAGACACACCTACCATGCCTACCAAGAGCCTCCAGGTACCTTTAGCTGTTGAGAACATAAAGGGCCATCAAGAACTCTGGCTGAGCTTGTAAAGTGGGGAGGCAAAGAAATAAAGAAGGCAGGGTTTGCACCTGCCCTTCAACCAGAGGATACTGTCTATCAGACAAACAGCCTAAAAAAGATTGCTTATGCATGAACTCTTTCCAGTTATTATTTACAAAATTATTATTTTAGCAGTGTAAAAATAAGATTGTATTGTGCATTAACTATAATCCAACCTGAACACTTCATGGTTGGTAGCATTGAATTTCTATCCCAAAGTAGACTGTGGATCACTAAGTGACAGTCATGTGGGACATGCTTGCTTGAGCAAGTAGTCACTAGTGAGTTTATCTCTAGGAGGGCCACCTTTGTTAAAGTATACCAACTGTTTAGAGTATTCCTTAAATTTAGCCTAGGAAAGGAATTCCTCTAGACCATAAGTTTGTTATATTGAAAATGATAATTTTTTTCAGCACAGGGCCAAAGAATCTCATGCTCTCAGTTATTCATCTCATTTATTAGTGACAAGCACTCAGGAAGCTATTTCCAAAGCAGAGTTGAGGAACTTGAAATATACACAAGGTTGTTAAAACAATAAGGAATGGAAGGTCCAAGTCCAGAAAAGAGAAAGCTATAGGTTTGTCTGAGATCGAGGGGATGTTCAAAGCCTATGGAAGAATCCTTGCCATTGTTCAAAGTCAAGTTGGCCTTAATTCTTCCCTCCAGAGAGAATTCTTTATCTATAATCGTAAGAGAGTGTCCTGTACTAGGAAGTAATGTGTTTCTTAGCTTGAATTGCTTTGATATATAGTTATGCCATTGTATGTAACTCACAAAACTGCACTGCTGGGATGTTCTTTATTTAGTATCTAAAGAGCAATAACCCTAATCCTTCATATTACAGTTCACTAAAATCAAAAGGGAGAAAAGAAGAAAAGAAATTGACTGGAACAAGGCATAGATGATCTTGTTTCAGTACATGTGAATGTTGTGTTCAAATGGGCAGGGTGTTTTCTTGTTTTGTTTTTTTTTCTAAAATTATTCTCTGTTAAGAGTTTCAGGTTTATAGTTGACTTTAGTTCTGATTGGTTGTATAAAAGTGTCATAAAAATTGCTTAAATTGTCTTTAAGCTGGTTTCATGATATTTTCTCTTTCTCCATAACAGTTCCCAGGTGTGAGGCTTCCATTCCCACTAACCTGTGTATTTTATCATGTAGACACAGATCTTTGTGCATATGTCAACATATGTGTATCTTATGACTTAGACCCAAGGCAGCCCATTAATTCAAAATGAAATCACTTGTCTCAAAACATGTACAGAGTTACAAAGTAATTGTGTGTGTGTTTGTTTTCCGAAAATGTGCTCAGTTTTCATTTTGTTTTTGCCCCAGTCATCCTCCTTCTAATTGTGTGGCCAAGGAGTGTGAACCACTGAAAGTCATAGAACTTCAACATCATCAATAAAGCTAAGGTGTCTCATTTTAGAGATAAGAGTTTCTGGTTTGGGCCTATGAAATCCTATGAGGCATAACAATAAACACACCCAGCAGAAATGCAACTCTTCAAGTAATGATCCTTCATTACAATGTTATTATAAGAAATGAGTCATGCTGAAGAATGTGAAAATAAAGTGATCTCTTAGTCTGCAACCAAAATTGTAACAGTGGAAACTGGTACCTGGAGATGCATCTAGTTAAGAGTGAGACCCAGTGATTTCCCGAGTCTCATTGTCATTCTGTGTGCTGTGGCTTGTGTTAAAGGGAACTTGCAATTCAAGTGGAGGCTTCCTGCATGCTTTCTTTTTGCCTTTCATATTCTTATTATTTTATATGCTTTTCCTTAACTTGCAAGTTGTAATTGCATATATTTTTAGGACATCATGTCTAATGGTTAAAGAAATTACTATTTCCCTCTTTCCACATTCTCATATCTTTGGGTTGAAATCCTTAAAACTTATCTTCTCTGGTTATTGATCTATAATATAAAACACTAGAACTTAGTCTAGCCAGGGAAGGGATTTTGATTTCTGTTGCACCACACATCTGACTCCTGTCTTATCAACCTCCTTTGGTTCCTCCACCCTGTCTCCTCTCTGTCTCTCCATCCATGTGAGTTCAACACTTCCCTCTACAAAAGAGAATGTGTTGCACTTGTCCTTGTGTGTTTGGCCCATTTTATTAAAGGTACTCTGTTTTTATGTGTGTTGCTGTGAGTGACAGGATTTCATTCCTTTTTTATGATGGTAAGCTTTCTACTTTACTAGCCAGAAAATATTTAAAGATTTTCTGAGAAACCATTGTTATTATTTCATAAGCTTTGGTCCAACTTTCATTCTAAGTATGTATATTCAAATCTCGTGTTTTCCTCCAGTTTCTATCTGCACCCACCCTTTGTGTTGGGGAATCTATTCTTTAGAATATTATACATCCCTGGAGAGATTTAGGCATAATTCACTATGCTGAAACATCTGTAATTAATACTCTGAGATATCTGATTTACTTACAACCTGTTTGCCAAAAGATTTATCAGTTTCATTCATCTAAAATATGTGATGGAATGATGTGAGTTGAATTCCATCAATGTGTGATTACTCTTAATGACAGGGAATCTTACAATACTTTCAAGTCAGTGTTTTCATTGACCAGCCCCAAAGCAGAATCATGACTTTCTGGAACCATAGTAATAAAGATGTGGACTGTGAATGTAAGCATTATGAGTTACCATTGTAGCCCATATGACTATTACCAAGAAAACTGAGGTGGTTGCCTCCATTTTTAGCTCTGATCTCAACACATCTCTATTTCATTTTGTGCATTATTCATGAAGAAAAAAGCTAAATAATGTAAATTCATTTGAAGCTGATTTCTGGTGTGGGATAAGAATTCCTTATTTGAAATGCTTAGGACAAAAACATTTTGGAATTTGAAATTTGAGGGTTTTGGAGCATTTGAATATTTACATTGAGGCATCAAGAAATTCATTAGGGTTTTTATAATCATTTTGTACACATAGCTTGTGTGTTTTTGCATGGTGACTGGAAGCCAACAGGGATGGAATTTTTCATCTGTGGATTAAGTAAGCCACGCTTTTAAAATTTTTGGAACATGATGTACTTTTAAATTTTAGATCAGGGAGTCTTCAACCTATATTAAAATTTCCTACAAAAGTTCAAAATTGTGCAGGTAAGTATCTGTTGCAAATCCTGTATATTTCAGAATGCACACGGTCTACCAGGGTCTGTGCAATGTCCTCTGTATCTATATAATGGTTTCCAGTGTAGTGTTTTTAGTATATTCCTAAATGTGTGACTGAGTGGGTCTCTGATTTTGTGCCTTCTCTTGTTCTCTTTTCCTTGTGTTGATTTATCCTGGCCAACTTTGGTGTGATAGTTTTGTTTTACCTTATTAAATTTTATTTTGATATAGTTTTTGAAAAATGAATAGAAGAAAACCTAGACAATATGGTAAAGTTTAACAACTCAACTGTCATTTATACCTGTTGTAAGAGGAAAAACCAGTTTTCTTCAATGGAGTGACACTTGATATATCAACAACTCCAGAGCAGGACTCAAGTTCAAAAGTAATTGACCAATATACAATGGACGCCAGAGTTTTCTTATGTGGTGCTTTTATTTAGCTACAGTTTGGTGGTGGTGGGGTGGTGTTATTTTTCTTTGTTTTTTTTTTTTTTTGGTTTTCAGAAGTTTGTTGTTGTTTTGGGTTTTTGTTTTTTAAAGAATGAATTTAAAGTTGATTGGTTAGAGACAGGGAGAGAAATCTAGAAGGACTTGGGAAGCAGAAAATATGATAAAATGTATTTGATTTTAAAATTATTTTAAATAATAAAAACATAGCTAAAATGAATTTTATAAACCCTGTAACTCCTAAACCTTGCAGAGTTGTGAATGCTTATGAGCCCAGCACTCAAGAGGCTGAGTCAGGAGGATAGTTGTAAGTACAGAGCCAATCTGGGCTACACTGCAATGCCTTGTTTCAAATAAATAAGCAAA